ACAGAGCAGGTTATTACTTCAAACGGTGGGCTCAAACTTCATTGATACTTCTCTCAAATCTCTAACCTACAGAGCGTGCTATCAACTAGTTTGGGTTTTGGAGGTTCTTTTTGGGTGCCACATGTCATTATTACCAAGCAACGGAGGCATAAGATTCTTGTTCTCAATGTGTTTCAGCACCGCAGCGATATACTCTTTGCAGTCCTCCTCCTTCCGTGCAAAGTAGCCGAGAGCCTGTTCCCAGAGACAAGCCTCTTGGTCTCCATACAACTCGCACACCTCAATCACCTTCTTGTACTGCTCGTTCTGCATGTGGTAGTGCATGATCTGTTGGAAACTACGGGAGAGAGAGACTCGTCAGCTGCAACGATCTCTCCTTTTGAGTGGTTACAGGGACGTCAGGTTTTCAGCCAGCCACGCGAGCCCCGGACATTCACACAGAAGCCAAGACAGGTCTGTCATTCGCTCTCTACGTAACTGCCCTGCTCTAACAACAAGATATGCTCAGCTGAGCAATGATCTGCAGTTCCCATCTCGAGACACCGAAGAGGTGGTTACCATTGCAAGGCAGGGACACTTACAGCTCGGAAATCCCTGCGGGGTGGGGGGGAGGGATAGGACTCTAGGGACAAGAGCAACACTCACAGTTTGCCCTGCTCATAGAGGTAGAGGACACCATCCTTGAAATTGTGCATCTGACATAAGACCAAGGCCTTATCAAAGACCGTTTTGAACCTTCCACTCTTCAGGAGGGTGAGGGCTTCATTGTGCAGCTTCTCCTTGATCTACGGAGAAGGGGGAAGAGGTCGGGGAGAGCAATGCACACACGCACAGAGAACATTTTGCACCAAGACCCGAGAGTAATCCGCAGCTCTTTCAAAGAGGAGGACAGTTTTGCTGTTTGCCCTCTATCCCTTTTAAGCAAACAGGACATGACTTCTGCCCAAACAGCCAGCATCCTCAGAGACCCCAGCAAGCAAACGGAGCTACTTTTGTGGGAGAGGCATCTGCCCACAGAGGTTGTATTGTCTGCAATCTGTTCTCAAATGAGATTCATGCAAAACAAGCTCAGCCTCACTGAAAGGAGTATTCTCCCAGCTAGCAGGCTGCTTTCCCATTTATGTGCCATTTGTCCAGCACAGCGTTACATATTGCCTCATGTTGTCAATGCCCATCTGCAAAGGTTACGGGTTGGCAGGAATG